TAGTACATCATACTTAAGAAAGCGAATGCATACAAGATTGGACCAATGAGATTGTGGCCTCAAGTAAGGCGCGACTTCATTGACTTTGTGAATAATGCAGTTGGCATGTTAGTGTCTTGAGCTTGGCCGCAGCCGTTTGCGTCGTCACGTGCACTTTGTGTGGGCGGACCGGTGGTCTGCCGTGCGAACGACTCGTCAGGGTGGTTTGCAGTTAAGCCGGGCCCTGACAATATATGCGTGGGAAACTACAGAACATATTAAATACAGTAGAAGCCTTTGGTTTAATGGTAAGTGCATCAAATGAATGATCAAACGAGCACCTTTCCTAGCATCAGGTTTTGGAAACTTGGAGTTGGGAATGTCTGGCTGACGACGGCTAATAAACTAGAAATGGTCATTCAACTCTCTCCTTTGTTTGACCGAAATCTTATTTCTTCGTTCTGCTTATGCGTATCCGAGGGACCGCACTTTCTGAAAACTCAAATATTTTACAAAAAGAATCGTTTCACATTAGCTATATGCCTTTGCAACTGGCCGTTAAAGTAGATCATATTACAATTATTAATATCTGCAAGTTCATATGCCTGCTTGGAAAACAAGGTCGCTTTCCCTAAATGACCCCTACCTCAGGTTGATTCTTTTCAAGAATTACTAAGTACAAATAGGCATTTTTCCATATCATCGTAAACAGTATAAACTGCAAAAATTTAGAGGCAGGCTTTAACTCCTGTTGGATTAATTTTTTAAATGACACAGTTGTCGATACGTTCTTCATCTACATTTTCTCACAAAAACGCCTAATGTCTGTAATTTTAAAAAGTCCTACAAACCCAAAAGGCTGCGGGAAAAGATTTCCCGTCTGAAGGCCGCATTCCACCATAGGCTAGGAAACTAGAAATTATCTTGAACACAGATCGCCAGATGAGGGAAAAGCAGAAACGAAAGCAGACGTAGGAGGAACAGGAGCGGATATAAAAGTGGGGAAGGGGAGGGATGAGCAGTGTCTGTGGGGGGAAGGAGGAGGAGGAAGGAGGATAGTGGGACTTGGATAGGAGGGTGAGCTTGGGCAGAGTGATGAGGAACAGAAGGATAGAGGAACGGTCGAAAGTTGATGGTTTTATGGTAGCCCTTTGCCAAACTTGTGCGCATTTACAACTTCGCCATATTTTCATTTGTACATAACTGTCTAGACTAACTCTGTCCATTAGGCAGCTCTGTAACTTGCATTTAGAACCTTTTGCTTAAGTTAGCGTACAACCGTTTCCCGCTACACTTTAACTCGTTTGTATGTTGATTCAATAGCGGACATTTTCTACCTACTGGTCTTCTTTACTAAACGGGGTACGTAGTCGTTTTCGCATGTTCAGGGTGTCTGACGCGGTTTGTTTGACGTGTTATTTAGCGTGGGACGCATTCATCGATTGCCTTTCTCAGCTAAAGTGGTGACCTCGTATTTGGACAGCGACCATCTGTTCATCACGCGTACATAGCGCGTTAACTTTACGCGTCTCCAAGCCAGTCAACAACCAATCAAATACAGAAACATTCGCTGCGCGCATTTTCTGACGCGTCCCTGTCACAAAATATGCCGAACGAGGACTCAGTATGCACCATCGCGCTGACGCTCCCTGAGTACTGGCCAAATGCGCCAGAAATGTATTTCCTTCGTATCGAGTCAAGTTTTTACTCTGCGAACATTACCAAGGAAGTTACAAATTCCACAGGCTGATTCAGGCGTTGCCACTGCAAGTGTTGTCTCAAGTGCAGTCAACAATTAAAAGGCCATTTGTGGAAGCACCATATACTGAACTAAAGGCAGCCCTCCTGCGCCTGCACACAATATCTGATCACCAGAGATACAACCAACTCATCCAAGAAGAATCGTTGGGCGATAGAT